CGTGGTCAGTTGCGACTTGCGTACGTGGCCTCTGAGGCCAACACTGCTGATGTGTTCACCAAGGCACTTGCGCCTTGTGACCATCAGCGCTTCTGCACCCAGCTGGGTCTTGTGCCTGTCTTGCCTCACTTGCTCTCCTCTTGACTTTACTTGTACTGTGACATATATATATACCTGCTCTTGCTTGTCTAGTTTTATATATATATGTCTGTACTCTTGCTTGTGAACTGGCCTTTGGCCTTGCTCTTGTGCTCGGACTGTGTGGTGACTTTGTGATCCACCCTGAGCTTTGCTTTGTCTTGCTTGACTGGTCTTGTGACCCCTTGTTCTCCCCCACTTTGCCTATGGGGGTGTGTCAGAACATATCTATAGCTTATACTGCTGTGTAGGCTGTAGTGGGGTATCCCATAGGGGGTACAACCCAGTTAGGGTTTCATATTTGTACTGCTTTCATTCATAGTTCATCTCATTCCTGCTTACTCATTTACACAAGTTTTCCTCTGCCCTTCTAGGAGCCTTCTGTCGTTCACAGGGCATCCGCCAGACCTTCATGCTTCCGGCCTCTCCACAACAAAATGGGATTGCTGAGCGCCGCATTGGCATGGTCATGGACGTCGCTCGTACGTCCATGATCCATGCGGCTGCTCCCCATTTTCTGTGGTTGTTTGCGGTTCAGTACGCAGCGCATCAGCTCAACCTTCAGCCCCGGGTCTCCTTGCCAGAGACCTCCCCCACCTTGCGGTGGACGAGGAAGGTTGGCGATGCGTCTGCGTTTCATGTCTGGGGATGGCGGGCGTTTGTCCGCGATTTGTCTGCGGACAAGCTGCCCCCCCGTGCTGTTCCCTGCATCTTCCTTGGCTCCCCCCTGGACGCGCTTGGTTGGCAGTTTTACCACCCTACCTCGTGCCGTGTTCATTCTTCTGAGGATGTCACCTTTGACGAGTCGGTTCCTTACTACTGTCTCTTCCCCTACCGCATTGCACCCCTCCTCTCGCCGCCGCTCTTCCTTGCGCCAGGTCCCCCCCCGGTAGACCCCCTCCCCCCTCAAGATCCTGCCCCGTCAGGTGTGTCTCAGGTAGACGCAGTCGAGCCTGTCGAGGTAGCTGTTGACTCTCGTACTGCTAGGGGTGCTGAGCCTGGGGGTGCTGAGTCTGGGGGTGCTAAGCCTGGGGGTGCTGAGTCTGGGGGTGCTGGGCCTGGGGGTGCGAAGCCTAGGGGTGCTGAGCCTGGGGGTGCGGAGCCTGGGGGTGCTGGGTCTACTCGTTTGGGCTCTGACAGTGCTGGGTTTGGAGCCCCTTTGCGTGCTTCGTCGAGGCAAGAGCTACCCTCTCCACAGGAGCTGCGCAAGTGGTTTGCCCGGCGCCGGAGCCGTGCTGCTCGAGGTGGAGGTGCTGCTGTTACTGCTGACCATGGGGCCGGCACTGGAGTCATTGGAGCCACTGGTCCTTGAGGTGCTCGTACTGGCGGTACTGGAGCTGCTGGGCCTGGGGGTGCTGTTGCCGGTCCTGGTGGAGTTGGTGCTGCAGGAGCTGGAGCTGTTGGAGCTAGAGCTGCTGGGGGTGTTGGCGCTGGAGGTGCTGCTGACGCTGGTGCGTCTGAGGGTGCTGGAGTTGGCCCTGTTGGAGGTGGAGATGCTGCTGGCGCTGGTGCAGCCGCTGGGGGTACTGGTACTGTCCCTGCTGAATCTGGAGACTTCACGTGGGCGAGTCGAGCAGTGTCAGTAGTGGCAAAGACCAAGCCGTTGACGTACACGAGGATGTAGAACGACGCCAAAGAGGTGTCGGTGCGTAGAAACAGTGACGAGTCGGCTATAGAAGGAGCAAACCTAAGAGCCGCAAGTGTAGTCCTCAGTCTGTTGTGCCACTCACGGGGCGCCTGGCGGAGACCGTAGACCTGCCACCGGAGGCTCCACATGGTACCAAGAGGACACGACCCAGTGAAGCCAGGAGGGCGGCGCAGCCAGATCTCCTCGTGCAGGCTGCCCTGCAGGAAAGCTGTGCTGAAGTTAAGAGAGTGAAGCTCTTAGTCGCGCTGAGCGGCTATGTGCAGCAGCACCCGAAGAGTGGTCATCTTTAGGGTGGGAGAGAAGGTCTGAAAGTAGTCAACTCCCTGCAGCTGACTAAAGCCTCGAGCCACGTAACGCGCCTTGAAGACAGGCAGAGAGCCAAGCGGCCACTTCACCCTGAAGATCCACATCCCACTGAGGATGTTCGCCCCAGGTGGGGGAACCTCGTCGACGTAGGTGCCTATGGACTTCCAGGAAGCCATCTCTGCGTCCATGGCCGACTGCCACTGAGAGGAGTAGGGACCCTCGATCGCCTCTGCGTACGATCGAGGAGTCAGGATGTCTGGTGGATCCGGGTCTCCCTCAAGGGCAATCAGCGTGGACACGAGATGGGGCAAAGCAGCCGCAAAGCACTGGAACTCCTCCTGCCTGTCCTCAAGGACGTCCGTGCTAAGAGCACACTCACCCCCGACAGACAGAGGACAGACAGACTCAGACTCAGCAACAAGACTGGCATCGTAGTCTAGAGGACAGCGAGCAGCGAATCGACCAGCTCATCAACTAGAGCAGACGCAGCAGTGGACTCAAAGGTAGGGTCAGTGACAACACTAGCAAGAAGGCGCGTGACCAAAGGACTAGCAACACGAAGGGAGTCAGACTCCGGGTCAGCAAGAGAAGGAAGAGAGGACTCTAGAGGAGACGGGAAAGGGACACGCTGCGGAGCAGTGGACGGACGCAGTGCCATCTGGTGTGTGCCGGGGACCGCAGGAGGACACGGACACGCAGCACGACGACTAGTGCGAGCAGCACGAACAGGCGACGCAGGACGAGACGCAGGCTCACGACGCTCAGCAAGACGTCCAGTAGGACCAGTGTAGGGAGAAGGAGCAGGTAGAGGGGAGGCAGGCTGTAATTGTGACTGCGACTGGACAGGCTGTGGACACTCTAAGGGAGGAGCAGGACCAGGAGAGGGCGGGAGACCTAGAATCTGCTCCAGGAGCGGAACAAAGTAGAGCCTCGGCCGCTCAGCGCCTCTAGAACCAGCAGGGACGGCACCGGTACCCTTAGAAGCACCAGCGCCAGAAGCACCGCCAACGCCAACACCCCAAGCAGCTCCAGCTCCAGCAGCACCAACTCCAGTAGGGCCGTTAGCACCAACTGCCTCAGCAACACCCCTAGACGCACCCCTAGACGCACCAGCACCAGTAGAAACACCAGCGCCAACACCCCTAGCAGCTCCACCTCTAGCGGCACCAGCACCAACAGCAACTCCAGCAGCACCCCCAGACTCAGCAGCATGTCTCCAGCGGCGGGCTAACCACTCGCGCAGCTCCTGTGGAGAGAGCGGCTCCCGCCTCGACGAAGCACCGCCGACGGCCACACGAGCAAGCCCAGCACCCCCACGCTCCGCACCCTTAGGCTCAACACCCCCAGAATCAGCACCCCAAGGCTCAGCACCCCAAGTCTCAGAACCCCCAGACTCAGCATCCCTAGACCCGGCACCCGCAGACCTGGCACCCGCAGGCTCAGCACCTCTAGGAGCACCAGAGTCAACAAATATCTCGACAGGCTCGACTGCGTTTACCTGGGACACACCTGAAGGGGCAGGACCCTGAGGAGGGAGGGGGTTTACCTGAGTAGCACCTGGCGTAAGGAAGAGCGGCGGCAGGGGGAGGGGCGCAGTGCAGTAGGGGAAGAGACGGTAGTAAGGCACTGACTCGTCGAAGCTGACGTCCTGGGAGGACAGAGCACGTCGCGTGGTGGGGTGGTAAAACCGCCAGCCAGGCGCGTCGGGGGGGGAGCCAAGGAAGACGCAAGGAACAGCACGGGGGGACAGCTTGTCCGCAGACAAGTCGCGAACAAACGCCCGAGATCCCCAGACCCAAAACGATGACGCATCGCCAACCTTCCCCGTCCACCGCAAGGTGGGGGAGGTCTCTGGCAAGAAGACCCGGGCCTGAAGGTTGAGGTGATGCGCGGCGTACTGAACCGCAAACGGCCATAGAAAATGGGGGGCAGCCCCATGCATCATGGACGTACGAGCGACGTCCATGACCATGCCAATGCGACGCTCAGCAATCCCATTTTGCTGTAGAGAGGCCGGAAGCGTGAAGGTCTGGCGGATGCCCTGTGCACGACAGAAGGCTCCCAGACGGGCAGAGGAAAACTCCCCGCCTCTGTCCAAGAGGAGGCGCAGGACAGGAAAGTCCGAGCCGAAACTCTCTCTGACCTGGAGACGAGCTGCGCGGATCCAGTCGATCAACACCTCAGTGATGTCACCCTTGGTGCGCAAGGGGAAGACTGTGGTGTAACGCGAGTAGTCGTCAACGACCAGCAGAAAGTACCGCTCTCGCCCCTGCCCACTGACGCGGGCTGGGCCCCACACGTCCATGTGTATCGTCTGCAGCGGAGCCTCTGTCGGAGGAAACTCGGAGGAGTGAGGGGCGGCGTGCTGTCGCCCCTCGACGGAGGGGATGCAGGTAGGGCCAGGCCCCGGAGGAAGGGGAGGGAGAGACCGAGGAAGTCCAGAGACAAGGACACGGGAGGCCATGCCTCGGAGACGAGGCAAGGAGGGGTGACCAAGGCGGTGGTGCCAAAGGAGAGTTTGGTGGGATAGCAGATGACACGAGCAGGGGGCAGACTCAGGACCAGACCTCGACGCCGCGGCAAACACCTGACTTGACGCAACTACCTGGGCAGACTCAGCAGTAAGAGGAGACTCAGTAATAATGGTGTACAGGCTCGACCCTGGCTGACGAGTGATCGTGGCCAAGTGTCGGCCTGTCCGAGCACACGTGCAGTGGGTCACTCGCTGACTCGTAGGAGTGAACTGGTCAACCCCTCGATCCCGTAGGTCCGCTCCACTCACCAAGTTCGTAGAGAACGAGGGGAGGTACAGACCAGACAGGGTGCCAGAGGGGGCTGCAGGGCACGGAAGGACAATGGAGAAGCTAGCAAGGACAGGACCCTACTTCGGCCCAGGCCTTCCACACCTTCACTCTGGACTCGGGTGCGTCCCGCTCCTTCTTTCGACGGAGGGGATGCAGGTAGGGCCAGGCCCCGGAGGAAGGGGAGGGAGAGACCGAGGAAGTCCAGAGACAAGGACACGGGAGGCCATGCCTCGGAGACGAGGCAAGGAGGGGTGACCAAGGCGGTGGTGCCAAAGGAGAGTTTGGTGGGACAGCAGACGACACGAGCAGGGGGCAGACTCAAGACCAGACCTGGACGCCGCGGCAAACACCTGACTTGATGCAACTACCTGGGCAGACTCAGCAGTAAGAGGAGACTCTGTAATAATGGTGTACAGGCTCGACCCTGGCTGACGAGTGAACGTGGCCAAGTGTCGGCCTGTCCGAGCACACGTGCAGTGGGTCACTCGCTGACTCGCAGGAGTGAACTGGTCAACCCCTCGATCCCGTAGGTCCGCTCCACTCACCAAGTTTGTAGAGAACGAGGGGAGGTACAGACCAGACAGGGTGCCAGAGGGGGCTGCAGGGCACGGAAGGACAATGGAGAAGCTAGCAAGGACTGGACCCTGAGAGGGGTCTGCCAGGGAGACTCAACCGGCCGACTAAGCGGCATAAGAGTGGTGCGGTCTCGAAAGAAGGAGCGGGACGCACCCGAGTCCAGAGTGAAGGTGTGGAAGGCCTGGGCCGAAGTAGTACCTGAGAGAGCAGACTCACCAGCATCTGGGGCGGCACACGCACTAGCACCTAGAGCAGCAGCCTCACCAGCACCTAGCGCAGCAGCCTCAATGCCCGGGTCATGCGGTACACACAGGTAACAGGCACCCTCAACACTATCAGCAACAGCATACATGGCAGCAAGAAAAGCATCAAAGTCAAGATCAAAGATAGTAACCCCGGCCTTAGCCAGATCTCCCCAGCGGGGGATCTCTGACGCCTCAGGGAACTGGCGACGCCACGCGTCCGTCAGGCGACCAAAGCAGCGCTGGGTGGAGTGCGGACCTTCGCACTGCCCACCAGTGCGGTCGCCGGTACGGAGAACGTAAGAGCAGGGACCAAAACCCCCACCGCGCTGGCGTGCAGTGTACCACTCACGAAGCTGCTGAGGGGACATGGTCACACCACTCCACTGGTGCTGCTGGCGCTGACCACCACCGGAGCCTCTCCTCGGCGCAGAGTCGCGACTCGCTCCACCACCGCCGCCTCCGCCTCCGCCGCCGCCTCCGCCGCCTCCGCCGCCTCCTCCACTACCTCCGCCGCCTCCACTGCTGCCGCCGCTGCCACCACCCCCGGCACCACTCCCACCACTACCCCCACTCCCTCCACCACCTCCACCACCACCTCGACCGCCCCCTCCACCCCCTCCAGTGCCCTTGCCCCGCCTACCCTTGTCAATGCGGCGTCTCCCGCTCAGGGCAGACGCAACGCCGACCGACTCGAAACCAACGAGGTCGGCCGCAGCAGCAGAGGCAACAGAGGGCAAGAGGTGGGAGGGAGAACACCCCTCAAAGACGGGGGTGCGAGGGTCACCACGAGAGGCTCCTACAGTGACTATGCTCTTCTCTATCGCTAGGAGGGCCTTCTTGAGGAGGTCAACAGTGAGAGTGGTCGGGCAAACTGAGAGGAAGTGGTCTTTGACTACGCGAAGAGAGTCAGGGAGTCGGGTGACTATGTAGTAAAGGGTGATGTACATGGGGGGGGGATTCTTGGCGCAGAACTCAGCAGGAAGCGCAGCGCGGTAGCGAGTGTTAAGAGTGCGGAGGTGCGTAATGAGGTCAGCGACAGTGGGAAAGGCAGCAAGGTCAGGGAAGAGGTACGGTAGCATGAGGCGGCTCAGTGCAGCAGTGGCAGGGGAAGAGTGGCGTGCAACTACAGCGTCGTACAAGGTCTGAGCACTCTTGTACTGGCTATATTGTGCACGCTCAGTGGTCGGTAAGTGGCGACGAACCGCAAGGCGAGCAGCAGCATCACGTGTGGCCCACTGTGAGCGAACAGTGGCGTCAGCATCAGCAGCAAGGGCAGGGGAGGCACCAGAAGTGAGGTCAAACAGGGAGAGGCCGTCTGCCCTATCGCACTGCAGAAAAAGCTGTAGATCATCTACCCAGACCTCAAAGTCCACTACCTGACCCTCAGCGTCAAAAGTGAGAACGCTAGGGGAAGCCATAACAGCAGTAGGCAGGCAGTGAGGGCAGTGAGGCAGGGCAGTGTAGTGGTAGAGAGTGGGCTCTTACCAGGTAGGTGGGGCGATCGGGCTGCTCGCCGGCTCGGCTGCTGGGCGGCTCGGTTGCTGCGGCTCGGCTGCTGGGCGGCCCGGTTGTACGGTATTGGGCAGCTCACCTGTCCGGCGGCTCGGCTGTCCGGCGGCTCGGCTTCCTGGCGGCTCGGTTGCTGGGCGGCTCGGCTGCTAGGCGGCTCGGCTGTCTGGCGGCTCGGTCGGTCGGGCGGCTCAGCTGCTCGGCGCTGCGTGCGCTGGGCGGCGGGGTCGCAAATGGCGGCCGGCCACAAGGGTGAGCGGTGCCGCGGTGGCGACGGGACGGGGCCGTAGCAGGGGCCTAAGAGGGGCCGTAGCGGAGCCGACAGGGCCGTAGCGGGGCCGACGCGGGGCCTAAGTGGGGCTGACGGGGCCAAAGCGAGGCCTAAGCGGGGCCGTAGCGGGGCCGACGGGGCCTAAGCGGGGCCGACGAGGCCGTAGCGGGGCCGTAGCGGGGCCGACGGGGCCGTAGCGGGGCCGTAGAGGAGCCGTAGTGGGTCCGACGGGGCCTAAGCGGGGCCGACGGGGCCGTAGCGGGGCTGTAGCGGGGCCGTAGCGGGGCCGACAGGGCCTAAGCGGGGCCGTAGCGGGGCCGTAGCGGGGCCTAAGCTGGGCCGACGGGGCCGTAGCGGGGCCGACGTGGCCTAAGCGGGGCCGACGGGGCCGTAGCGGGGCCGTAGCGATGGCCGTAGCGAGGCCTAAGCGAGGCCGACGGGGCCGTAGCGAGGCGGGGCCGTAGCGGGGCCGACGGGGCCGTAGCCAAGCCGTAGCGGGGCCTAAGCGGGGCCGACGGGGCCGTAGCGGGGCCGACGGGGCCGTAGCGGGGCCGAAGCCGGGCCGTAACGGGGCCGACAAGGCCGTAGCGGGGCCGTAGCGGGCGGCTCGAGGGGCAGTAAGGGCGGCCAAAAGGGGCCACTAAGGCGGCTCGGGGCGCTACTCAGGTTAGGAGGAAAGCGCGCTCTGGGCAGAGAAGGAAAAAAAAAAAAAAAAAGTACGTGGTGGGCCCTGGGCAGTATTCCCACTCGGGAACCTGCTCGATACTATGACGAGAAGTGAGAATCGATGAACTATGAAAGAGTTGGGTACAAGTACTAACCCTTATTGGGTTGTACCCCATATGGGCTACCCCACTATAGCCTACACAAATGTATAAGCTATAATGTTTTGACAGGTGGCGCCGTAGCTAGAAGAAGAGAAGAAAGAATGTTGCAGAAGAAGGGAGAGAAGCTAGGCTAGAGGGGGAGGAGGCCTAGCTCCAAGAGACGTAGATTCTGAGATTAGATTAGAATGATCCAAGGATGATATAAGAAAAGCTAGAGAGAGATATTTATGCTAGGGAGAATGAGCGCGGCTCGGGAGGAAAGCCCGCGTCGCCACGCTTTCAGCATGGCATCTTGACATAGCGCCTCGCTGCCATGCCCTGCTGGATTCTAGTAGCTTCCAATAGCTGATGAGGATAAGAAAGTATGCTCCGAGGGTAACACCTATCCTTATTCGGAGCTAGCTAGGTAGAGGGAGTTCTAATCATTCAGTTGTTCCCATGCATGCAAGCATGGCGAACCCTGTCTTGTTACAGTGGGTAAGAAGAATCCGACGACGAATCAAATGAGATTGTAAAACTTCGCACGGTTGCGGTGTGCTTTGTCACGTCAGACCAGCAGCACTGTAGAGCAATAGTGTACACATGATGCCTATTTGAGCCACTCCCTGTTGCCTTGTGGAGGGGGCTTATAAGCTGTGACGTGCATTTCGCAAAAGTTTCGTTAATTCGCAGCTGGCTAAAAAGGATTAGCAGATGCGTATGTAAAGGATCTGTAACCTTATCCGTTGACATTTAGACTTCAGTCTCTTCAGTTTGACTTCAGTCTGTTCGATACTAATGGTTCATAACCACGCGACGCGCTTGTAACGTGGGTGCAACAAGCTGGGGAAAAAACCTCGGGTGCAGCGTTTCCATCCGGTACAGAGAAAAATCGCGTGCATGACGTGAGCATCATCTGTACACGTGTCCTCAGTGCTGCTGGTACGGTGCCCCCTCCAAACTTGAATAGTGAATGCTGAGCTGGGACCAGAGGTTCCATGCTGCAAACTGTTCGCAATGCGGCGCCACTTGAGCAGTTTGTTGATCGGACTCGCTAACAACAAACTGGTGCCTCTAAGCAGATTGATAATCGGACCCGCTCATACACATCGCACTTGTCTTAGCTACAAACAGACAATGGTATACATCTTTTAGCAACCAAACTGCAATTTCTATACTCAACCTACCGCAGCAAGTGCAATCCTACACAACCTACAAACTCAATGCTTTTCCGTCATACATTTTCATCATATATTGTCACAATGTGCTCTATTCAAAACTACAAAACACACACACATATATATATATACACATATTCGAGCACCTAGCAGCTTCTGCAATAAAACTTAGGCAGCAGATACCGGCAGGAGTCAATCTGAAATACAAAATATGAATTTTAAAAAATGCACAGTGCTTGGTTGCTAACAAAGCGAAACTACCGGTACCGTAGTTGTTTCTGCAAAACAGTGAGAGACTGCGTTTACATCATTCCCATCCAATTGGCAAGCACTTGGTAGCGATCAGAAGTTGATTGGGGCGTAGGATCTACTCACGAAGGATCGCACGCAGAGAAGGGGTGTTGGAGGGCCCTTGACCTCAATAGCAGAGTGAATATAAATGCTTGAGATGATTAAGACATGCATACATCGAGTTTATATAAGAGTACAGGGGAATGCAAAAAGACCTAGACTAGCCATGTACTCTAAGAGGTACATTCCCTTATTCAAAGACATCCCCAACTGTGCGGCGCGAACAGTTACGAAATTGTTCCCGCCGAAACCTCCTGTCTGCAGGTGCCTGATGTTGTCTGCTCCGACGGTTCAGATGCGTTCCAACCGTCTCACGCTTCGCGTTCATTCGCGATACTGCGTGCTTCTCTTTGCTGCGATGAGGAGTGCACAGTAATGTTCAGGTAAACCCTATACCAAAACCCCCACCGCACTGACGCGCACTGTACCACTCATGAAGCTGCTGAGGGGACAAGGTCACACCACTCCGCTGCTGCTGGCGCACACCACCACCTGAGCCACTCCTTTGCGCAGAGTCGCGACCCGCTCCACCACCGCCGCCGCCGCCTCCGCCTCCGCCGCCTCTTCCACCTCCGCCTCCTCCGCCACCTCCGCCGCCTCCGCTCCCTCCGCCACCACCACCGCCTCCTCCACCTCCACTGCTGCCGCCGCCGCCGCCACCCCCGGCACCACTCCCACCACCACCCCCACTTCCTCCTCTGCCTCCACCACCACCTCCACCGCCCCCGCCATCCCCTCCAGTGCCCTTGCCCCCCTTGCCCTTACCGGTGCGGCATCTCCCGCTCGGGGCAGACGCTTCGCCGACCGACTCGAAACCAACGAGGTCGGCCGCAGCAGCAGAGGCAACAGAGGGCAGAAGGGGGGAGGGAGAACACCCCTCAAAGACGGGGGTGCGAGGGTCACCACGAGAGGCTCCTACAGCGACTATGCTCTTCTTTGCTGCTAGGAGGGCCTTCTCGAGGAGGTCAACAGTGAGAGCAGTGGGGCAAACTGATAGGAAGTGGTCCCTGACTACGCGGAGAGAGTCAGGGAGCTGGGTGACTATGTAGTAGAGGGTGATGTACATGGGGGGGGGGGTTCTTGGCGCAGAACTCAGTAGGAAGCGCAGCGCGGTAGCGAGTGTCACTAGTGCGGAGGTGCGTAATGAGGTCAGCGACTGTGGGAAAGGCAGCAAGGTCAGGGAAGAGGTACGGTAGCATGAGGCGGCTCAGTGCAGCAGTGGGAGGGGAAGAGTAGCCTGCAGCTACAGCGTCGTACAAGGTCTGAGCAGTCTTGTACTGGCTAAAGTGTGCACGCTCAGTGGCCGGTAAGTGGCGGCGCACAGCAAGGCGAGCAGCAGCATCGCGCGTGGCCCAATGTGAGCAAACAGTGGCGTCAGCATCAGCAGCAGGGGTAGGAGAGGCACCAGAAGTGAGGTCAAACAGGGAGAGATCGTCTGCCCTATCGCACTATAGGAAAAGCTGCAGATCATCTACCCAAACCTCAAAGTCAACTGCCCGACCCTTAGTGTCAAAGGTGAGAACACTAGGGGTGGCCATGACAGTAGTAGACAGGCAGTGAGTACAGTGGGGCAGGGCAGTGCAGTGGCAGAGGCGCTGCTCTTACCAGGCAAGTGAGGCGGTCCAGGGCAGGTAGACAGGCGGCGGCACCTCGGCTGCAGTGCAGCTCAGCGGCTCGGCGGTAAAGGCGGCTCGGCGGCTCGGCAGCACAGGCGGCTCGGCGGCTCAGCGGCTCGGTGGCTCGGCGGCTCGGCGGCTTGGCAGGTCGGCGGCTCGGCAGCGAAGGCGGCTCGGCGGGGCCGTGAAGGGCAGCGTCGCTGCCGCTAAGGAGCGGCGACAGGGCCGCTGAAGGGCGGCGACGGGGCCGCTGAAGGGCGGCGACGGGGCCGCTGAAGGGCGGCGACGGGGCCATTGAAGGGCGGCGACAGGGCTGCTGAAAGGGTGGCGACGGGGCTGCAGAAGGGCGGCGACGGTGCCGCTGAAAGGGCAGTTTGGGGCCGCGGAAGGGCGGGCGGCGACGGGGACGCTTAAAGGGCAGCGATGGGGCCGCGGAAGGGCGGCGACGGGGCCGCTGAAAGGGCGGCGACGGGGCCACAGAAGGGCGGGCGGCGACGGGGCCGCGGAAGAGCGGGGACGGGGCCGCTGAAGGGCGACAACGGGGCCGCAGTAAGGGGTGGCGACGGGGCCGCGGAAAGGGGTGGCGTCGGGGCCGCCTAAGGGCGGCGTCGGGGCCGCAATAAGGGGCGGCGACGGGGCCGCTGAAAGGGCGGCGACAGGGCCGCCTAAGGGTGGCGACGGAGCCGCAGTAAGGGGCGGCGACGGGGCCGCTGAAAGGGCAGCGACACGGCCGCCTAAGGGCGGCGACAAGGCCGCTGAAAGGGCGGCGCGACGGGGCCGCAAGGGCTGCGCGATGGGGCCGTGAGGACGGCGCGACAGGGCCACTAGGGGCCGTAAGAGGGGCCGCAAGAGGCCGCGATGGGGAACGAAACGGGGCGCGACTTGAGAAGGGGCCAAGCGCGCTCCGGGCAGGAAAAAAAAAGTTCGGTGGGCCCTAGGAACAGTTCCCACGAGGAAACCAGCTCTATACCATGTGAAGATTAGAACGAGAGAATGAATCCATTGAGCAGAATGAGGAGTACAAGTAGCAAACCCTAAAGTGTTGTACCCCATATGAATTGCCCCACTACAGCCTACATATACTATAGCATATATGCCTGACAGCATTCCAGGATCGTGAGGCAGCTGCTTGAACCCGATTTCAAGCAGTATTTGTGCAGATATTGCTGCCAGAGTCTCGGTGCCTGTTTGATCCCATAGAGGGACTTGCGTAGTTGACAGACACGTGGGTCTCCGTTGCTGTAAGTGTGTGGCTGTTCCACGTGGATCACGGCGTCCACTAATGCGTACAGGAACTGACTCTTCACATCGATCTGCCGTAGTGGTAGGTGTCGTGCGGGTGCGATGGCGAGGAGAATTATGACGGACGTGTGACCGCTGACCGGCGAAAATGTCTGGTCAAAGTCAATCCCATGCCTTTGATCGTAGCCGCGTACCACCCAGCGTGCCTTGAATCACTCAATCCTTCCGTCGGCTCCTGTCTTCACTCGGAAGACCCATTTGCTGGAGAGAATCCTTCTCCCCTTTACTGCTGCACGCTCGACGAGCACCCAGGTGTCGCGTGAGTCGAGTGCCCGGATTTCCGCATCCATTGCTTCGCGCCACTCCTTGTTGTGTGGTCCAGAAAGAGCTTTGCGCGGATTCCGGGGCTCGACGACACGTGGCGGCTTCGAAGTTGCGGTGTGGAGCCCGAGCAGCTGTAGTCCCAAGATGGTGCTGTTGTGGCGACGTTGCGGGATGACTTCCTGTACGTCGTCGTTGTCGCTTTCTAGTTCAGGAGGCGCTGGTGGTGTCGTGCCTCTGCCGCTTCCGCCTGTTCCGCCTGTTCCGCCTGTTCCGCTTCCACCTTCTGCGCCCATTCCTCCTCCCGAGGAATCGTCATCGTTGTTGTCGTTGCGTCGTTCTTCCCACACGGACTCGCCCCTCGTGTCCTGCTCCAAGATTGCTGCAGCGGCTTCGTCTTAGGGCGTTGCGTAGCTGTGCCCGTCATTAGCGTAGACGCGGTTCGCGTTCGTTTGTTCGTCGCGGCGGAACTGGTCGAGGAAGAGGCGCTCGTAGAAAATGACGTCGCAAGCGTGAGCAATTTTCTAACAGAGGAGGTCCAGCACGATCCAGGCCTTGTACTTATGGCTGATGTCGAGGTGGATCCCCCAGCGAGCGCGGCTGGCAAATTTGCCGATGGTTGAGGTCGGCGGGCGGTATTGAACCATGCATCCCCATACGCGCAGCATGGAGGTATCCCCTTTGGTCCCGGTCCATTTGACGTGCGGTAATGGCGGTGGTCGAGAGTAGGTTGTGCACCCGTACTGCGTGGTGCATTGCGTAGGTCCAGTAGTTTGGCGGCAATTTCGACTGCCTCATCAGTGCGCGCACCTTTGTCATTAGCGTACGGTTCGTCCGCTCAGCTATGCCCTGCTGCTGGTGCGCGTAGGGGAGAGAAATATGGTGCTCGATCCCCTTTTGCATGAGGTAGGTTTGCATCTGGTTGCTCCTGAATTCTGCCGCGCCATCAGATTGCTTCTTCCCAGACTGTCGCTCTGCGGGCGCCAGCCAGAGGCGAAACACCTCATAGGCTCTGTCGCGTGACTCCAAGTTCACGACCCACACGTAGCGCATTCCAACGTCGATAAAGGTGAGCGTGTACATTTCGTCCTCGGTTCCGCAGTGCCCTGCGTTCAGGAAATCGTTGTACGCCTTGTGTAGCTTGGGGTAGCGGTTCGTTCCAGGTTCTAGTAACGGGAATGGTTGGTGGCTCAGCGCAGCTTCAGGGCAGACGGTGCAATTGCGCAGATGTGTTGCACCTCTCACTTCGGAGCCATCAGGGCGCAGTAGTGCGCCAGGAGCGAAGACGCCTGCGTCGATGCGGTTTTTCAGTGTCGCACGTGAAGGGTGTCCGAGGCGCTGGTGCCAGAGAGTGTCGTCAGCGCGAAAGCCGGAGGTGCGTATGTAGCGTGCGCGTGCTTCCTCAAGGTCTTCGTCAGGTACAGGGGCAGGTTCTGCTGCTACTCCCTCTGCTTCTTCTTCTTCCAGCGCGGTGGTCAGCATCAGCGCCAAAAACTCTTTGCCACGGATCTCAGAGAGCGGAATGCTGGTCCCAGGGATTGTGCCAAGTACGAACGCCGGCTTGCATGGCTTTGGACGAGGTCCGTAGATGGTGCGACGCGGGGTTGACGGCTCGTTGCCCCAGATGATGGTGTCCGATGGATCGCGCCTCGAGGGGTTGTCAGGAGGAAGTGGTGCGAGTGAAACGTGTCGCGGGGGACGGCCAAGAGGAATGACTGCAGGTGCTGCCTCAGTTTTCTCAGTATCGTCTGCACGTGCTTTTGCGAGGGTTCCTAGTGGGGTGGGCACCCCCACACTGCTTTCCCGTGCGCTCGCCGGAGCGAAGGACGTAGGTGCACGGACCTAAATCCCCACCACGCTGACAAGCAGTGTACCACTCACGGAGCTGCTGAGGGGGGGGGATGTCCCGAGAACGCTGCTGCTGCTGCTGCTGGCACTGACCACCACCGGAGCCGCTTCGCTGCGAAGCGCCACCCCGACCAGCTCCACCTCCTCCACCACCGCCTCCTCCACATCCGCCTCCTCCACCTCCGCCACCACCGCCGCCTCCGATCCCACCGCTACCGCCTCCGCCGCCTCCGCCTCCACTGCTGCCACCGACACCTCCACCCCCGCCACCACTCCCACGGCCACCCCCACTCCCTCCGCCGCCTCCACCGCCACCTCCACCACCCCCGCTAGCTCCTCCCGCGCCCTTGCCCCCCTTGCCCTTACCAGAGCGGCGTCTCCCGCTAGGGGCAGACGCCGCACCGACCGACTCAAGACCAACGAGGTCAGCCGCAGCAGCAGAGGCAACAGAGGGCAAGAGGGGGGAAGGGGAACACCCCTCAAAGATGGGGGTGCGAGGGTCACCACGAGAGGCTCCTACAGCGACTATGCTCTTCTCTGCTGCTAGGAGGGCCATCTCTAGGAGGTCAACAGTGAGAGTGGTGGGACAGACTGAGAGAAAGTGGTCTCTGACTACACGAAGGGAGTCAGGGAGGCGGGTGACTATATAATACAGAGTGATGTACATGGGGGAGGGGTTCTTGGCGCAGAACTCAGCAGGAAGCGCAGCGCGGTAGCGAGTGTCACTAGTGCGGAGGTGCGTAATGAGGTCAGCGACTGTGGGAAAGGCAGCAAGGTCAGGGAAGAGGTACGGTAGCATGAGGTGGCTCAGTGCAGCAGTGGCAGGGGAAGAGTAGCGCGCAACTACAGCGTCGTACAAGGTCTGAGCACTCTTAAACTGACTAAAGTGCGCGCGCTCAGTGGTAGGTAGGTGGCGATGCACAGCAAGACGTGCAGCAGCATCGGGAGTGGCCCACTGTGAGCAAACTGTGGCGTCGGCATCGGCAGCAGGGGCAGGGGAGGCACCAGAGGTGAGGTCAAATAGGGAGAGACCGTCTGCCCTATTGCACTGTAGGAAAATCTGCAAGTCATCTACCCAGACGTCAAAGTCAATAGCCCGAACCTCAGCGTCAAAAGGGAGAACACTGGGGGTAGCCTTGACTGTAGTAGACTAGCAGCGCTAACTATAGGGCAGGGGCAGTGCAGTGACAGAGACGCTGCTCTCACCAGACAGGGCGGTTCAAGCATATCGGCAGCACAGCAGCTCGGCAGCACGACGGCTCGAGCGACTCGGGCGGCTCGGCAGCAATTGCGGCTCGGCGACACCCGCGGCTCGGCTCCGCAGCTGATCAGGCGGCTCGGGCGGCTCGGGCAGCTTGGGCGGCTCGGGCGGCTCGGGCGGCTCGGGCGGATCGGACGGCTCGAGTGGCTCGGACGGCTCGGGCGGTGTAGCGGTGCGGGTGGCTCGATTGCGTAGGGCTACAGGGCCGCTGGTAGGGTGGCGGGCCCGCAGGTAGGGTGGCGGGCCCGCAGGTAGGGTGGCGGGGCCGGTGGTAGAGCGACGGGGCCACAGGTATGGCGGGGCGGGGCCTTAGGTAGGGCGACGGGGCCGGGTCGAAGGAGGGCGAGGAGGCCGGTACGTAGGTAGGGCGACGGGGCCGGTACGCAGGTAGGGCGACGGGGCCGGGGCCAGGGCGCAGGTAGGGCGACGAGGCCGGGTCAACGGTAGGGCGACGGGGCCGGTACGCAGGTAGGGCGACGGGGCCGTGGCCGGGGCGCAGGTAGGGCGACGAGGCCGGGGCCAGGGCGCAGGTAGGGCGACGGAGCCGGATCGACGGTAGGGCGACGGGGCTGGTACGCAGGTAGGGCGACGGAACCGGGGCCACGGCGCTGGTAGGGCGACAG